ATAATCGAAGTTATACTTGTCACATGATTAGGACTTAGAAAAAAAACTAGGATCACTAGGAATAGCCCAACATACTTGCAACGTGCTCAAATTGTTATCGAAAACTACATGAATTATGAAGTGAGATGGGAATGAAACTTTTGTAAACATGTCGAAGATTTCCTTTTAAAGTAGGAGCAAGCAAGATTAGTCGGATATAATGAGGGGACAATCCTCTCGATATATCATCTTATAAGCACTATGCGGCCTCAATGGAGAGACGTGGCTTACTACGTGATAGATATGAATTATGAGCTTTATCTGCCTGGACAAGATTGATTTTAGAGGATATTGTGAGGAAATCATAATCTTATGGAACCACACACAGCAAGATCTAGTGCTTGAGCCTGTGCCTGACCCTGAGCCATAACCTGAATTAGACCCAGAGGAGGAGCTTGAATTAGAATTAGAGGAGAGACCCGAACTAGAGCCGGGGGGAGACCCCGAGCAAGAATTCGAGCCACAGAACTTCGTCGATTTGGTTATGGATTCTAAAAAAGCAGTCATGCATTACCTCAGATGATGAGACTCCACCATAAAAGATTTTCATGACTAATAGAACTTAGGAATAGATGATAGTATGAGTTTGTTTTTAGAAAGCAAAATGTTACGTTTGAAAATCTAGTTTGACTTTTCAAGTGAAGATTTATATTATTGAGATTATAATTTTTTTTTTCATTCAATAATTCTAAAAACAAATTTTTATTCATGTTAAGAAAATGTCGAGACAACAACAAAACCAAGCTACGATTATCAGGAATTTGTTGAAAGTTGTACGAGATCTGGGGTAGACAACAAGCATAGGCTAGTCTCCAGAAGGAAAATACTAACAATACCAGCTTCATCATTGAACAGTTTCGCCGTTACAAATCCTCAACCTTCGACGACAAGGCAGACCCACTGGTAGCTAAAGAATGGATAAGAGGAATGGAGCAGATCTTCAAACATCTTTCATGTGCGGATGCTCAAAAAGTATTATGTGCAGAATTCATGTTGGTTGATGCAGCAGACCATTGGTGGGAGTCAGCTTCACGCACTAGAACCGAAGCACAACAACGTGCCCTGACTTGGACAAAATTCAAGGAAGAAGTGATGGGAAAATATTTCCCACAAGCCCTGAGAGATCAAAAAGAGGCAGAATTTCTTCAACTTAGATAAGGGAAGATGAAGTTTGAGGAATATGGGAGAAAGTTTGAACAACTCTCTAGGTATGCACCACACCAAGTAGATACGGAAGTAAAGAAAACGAGGAGGTTTGAATTGGGATTGTGTCCTGAGATTGGTGGAAAATGACATCTCACCAATTTACCACCTATAGTCGGGTATTGTAAACTGCCCGGACAATCTCAAATAGGTTGACCAAACTTCTCAGCAAGGGGCCGAGCCTTTAGGAAAGCGGAAATGGAACG